AAAAAAGAAAAAGAGTGCAACACATGGGACAAAGGTACTCATTATTAGCTGTTTGGAATGCGTGGGACCTGCGAGTCCGCATCGTTCAATGGGGCCTTCGAGCCCAAAAGCAAATACTTTATGTTGTTGTTTCCAGGGACCTGCGAGTCCCATCCCCCCACCCCTTGCCTATTTTTGTTGAAAATACGTTGCAAATACATTAATAAAAATCATATTTAAAAAAAAAAAAAAAAAAGTAATGCACTTGATCCCGGTCCACACCCTGGGGCTCAGAACGCGGAGACAAAACCCGAGCCTAGCGACATTACCAACCTGCGATGTGGCCCAGGCGCATCAATCAAAATGGCGGATGCCAGGAGAACCAAAGCCAGAGGGAAAGAAAGCCCTCACTTCGAAGCTGCAGCAAGCATGGTGGCATTCAGGCACAAGATAGCCCGATGCCCGCCACCACAAACAACAAGCACTCACTGCGACATCAAGACAAGATGCCTACCCCTCCAGACGCAACGCAAGACCGTTGCTCCAAAACCGTGGCAGGCCCGAAGCGGAAGGAAGGGTCGGAGGCACAGCAGGCCAGAGTGCACATTACAACACAGGCTACAGACACCCAAAAAACGATGTACCCTCAAGATGCAGTAGGGAGCAGATCCCGCAAGCGAGATACAGCACTGTCCACATGGGATCCCTATTGCCGACAAAGCACACAGCGACATCCTCTCCAAAATAGAGGGACATTTCTCCGACTTATGGCAGAAATTAACACGCCTTTTGCTCCAGCCCTCTCTACCACACAAAGAAGCCTACTTACCCAAAAGCTCTCCACCTAAGCACCTAAGAAGATCAGTGCCGAGCCTCAAAATGGCGCCGAAGACATCACCCAAGCGCACTCAAGCAGGACCACAACCACGACCTAAAAAGCTGAACAGTGCGACACACAAGTCACGAACCCCAACCTACCAGAGCATAGGCGATGTCAGGCAGTGGGCCCCTGCACTCAGAGACTGTGTCGTGTCCCCTGCTGGCATAGGCTGAGTCTGTCCCTGAGACTGATCCGCGAGGGGTAAATTCCAAGTAGCACGCCACAGCAGACCAGCTACGAGACTGTAATGTTATGTGCAAATATTCAATAGCATGTGTGGTTAATACTCATGATACGTATTTAATAGTCTCTATGCCCACTGGCCCCCATGGCGTTATTTTACTTATCATTTCGTTTGCATTGTTATTAAGCGTTATCTTAATTATCATTTTGTGAAACGTTAATCCAGAGGCAGACTCTAAGGCATCCCCACTAGCGCAAAATCACAGCAACTGCTTAACTAAATATCCTCAGAGCAGTTAGCTCGACCCCAGGAGTCTACAAAACTACTCCTATCTCCTCAGAATGCCACTAGACAACTAATATTTTAAGTTTAACAAATGACATATCACCGAACAGCAACTAAATAAGCAACCACAGTAGTGACTTAACTAGCATGTACCTTAACGTATGGTTCATATCTAAGCAGTCATACTCCTGTTATACCCATCTATCTGGTCTATGAATGTTTGTCGTGGCATTATATATAATAGACAATACATTGAGAATAAGCTTACTAAACTGTATATTTAACATAAAATTGTGCACGCAAGAACATACCCATTACTGTTATAAATTTATGAAAAGCATGAGGAATGCCGTTGGGGTACCCCATGCACGCTGTTATATCATATGCACTATAAAAATAAAGAATTATAAAAAAAATTAAAAAATAATGCACTGTATAAACTGGGCAGAAATACAATTCAAAGTAATACAAAAGGTGGTATCTAGTACAGACAAGATTTAAAAAAAAAAAAAGTACCCTGAATGCTCACCACTATGTTGGAGATGTAACCAGGTCAATGGAACGGTGATAAAATTGTTAACACTTGGAAAAAGATTTCTCTTTTTATAAAAACCCATACCAATTTAATTTTAATTTTACTCCAGAATTAGCTCTTTTGCACCTGAATTGGCCAAAACTAAACAAGCTATGTTTTTTCATCATACAATGTTTTTTGGCCGTAAAGATTGCAATTGCGCATAGTTGGAAAAACCCTTTAGCGCCACTCTGGTCGAATATACATAAATAGTTAATATACCAAATTAAAATGGAAATGAACATCAGGAAAACCCTAGGATGTAGATCCAAAACAACCAAAATATGGAGAGAAAAAACGGGCAAATAAATTAGATTTAGAAAACATTAATGAACCCTGAATGTTGAAAAAAAACGCTTTGAAATCTTAAAATAGGTTAAGAATAAACTGGTTCTAATTACAACTCCCCGGGACGCTCCTCCTCGACAGCGGATTGATTTGGTCTTAAATGTAAAGTCCTGCATTTTTAATATGTATATTGTACTGTGTAATAATCATTTTTATGTAAGTCATTAATATTCTTTTTATGAAGGTCATTATGGATTTGCCGATGATGAAACGCGTTAACAGTGGTTAATGTAGATATAAATACTCAGATATAATCAATTCCTGAATAAGAGGAACAGAAAACAAGAATTATTATATATATAAAGAAAGGAGGAAAGAAGGAAAAAAGAAGAGGGGGGGAGAAAAGAATTTATATATATATTTCTTTGTTTGTCAATTGTAACACTAATAATTATGAAAACAGGCTTAATATGTTTAATAAGAAATAGTGCAATATTGTATGTATTGTGTGTCTTGTTAATGGATCTTTTGGATCTATGTTTTGATCAAAAAACAAACAAACAAAAAAAAAAAAACGTGCTCAGCATGTAAGAGAACTAGCGACAAGAAAGACACACACACACAGTGTTTAAATCATACGTATCAGGAGAAACCTGTAGGCACGAGCACCTGCTCTGGTGTCCTTGTGGGCTCCAGTACGTGGGGATGACTACCAGAAGCTTTAAGACCCGCGTGCTGGATCATATGGGAAACATCCAGAGAGGGTACACTAAACATAGTGTGTCTGCACATTTTCTTGAAAAACACAACAGCAACCCTTCCCTTTTAGCTTTTATGGCTTTTTTTTTTTTTTTTTTTCTAAAGTATGTTGTTAACTGGAGGGAAGAGGATAATTTTAAAGAGCTGAATAACATTGAGAGTAGATGGATTTTAAATTTGGATACTTTGTCCCCAGGGGGACTTAATGTAGACTTTGAGTTAATCCATTTCCTCTGATACAGTTTTAAAGAGAGAGGGACTCATATTATATATATATATATATATATATACACATATATATATATATATATATATATATATATACACACATATACACACATATATACATATACACACACACTTTAATTTTTTTAATCTCTTCTATTCTGTTTATATTTTTACTTTAATTTTATTCTCTCAATTTTTAGAGTCCTTTACTCCTCTCCATAAAACATTTTTTTCTATGCACCATTTTAACATTCCTTCTTGTTTTTTTGCATTTTTTTTATGACATTGTAGGATGTAATTATTGTCTTTTTTACTATATTCCTCATGTGTTCTCTATACATATATTTTATGATGTTTGTAATACAGATTTCCCTTTTTCTTTGTTTTATTATTTATGAGTTTTGATCGTTGTGATATAAATCTTATAGGACACTTTTTTCCCATAATCATGTGGTTTATCTAGCTTAGGATGTGTGCAATATTAACATCGCCTAGTAATAGGAGCATCGGAAGTGACACATCGGCGAAACAAGTGATGTTCCTGCCGATACAACGGAAATTAACTTCAGCTAATGAACATCACTCAATTTTAACAGGGTATTTGAAGACTACTCAGCACTGAAGAAGGCTAATAGCCGAAACGCGGTTGCTGTAACTTTGGGATTGGACTTTTGATGCGGTGACATTTTCTATGTATTTATGCATGGCTTTATTTTTTAGCCCTAAGTTCTGCAATTCCTTTTATTTTAATATATTTGTATCTGATAAATCTCATTTTAATCCTCTATCCGGCATTCCTGTCCCAGTATCGTTTCGCCTGCATAGGCACCCCATATGCGGATTCTGTAGAGCCTGGCACAGCTCTTGATTTGCAAGTTCTAATCCTCGTACTTTGTTCATACTCTATACCTGGTTATATACAGAAAGCACTATGATTATATTTATCTTTACAGATATATTGAACCAGTGTATGATTAAGTATACCTTGTGTGTTCACTTTGGGTGTATAATTTTTCCACTTTAGCCTGATTTGATTTGGAGGTGATGGGGAATACACCTTTATTACTTTTCCCATCTTTGGAAGTGCCAACACATACTATTGTTTTGTTTTCTTGTAAAAAGATAGTTTGCCAATTAAGGTCTAAAATATTAAATTCATTTTCAAATCCAGATAATTCACAGTTTAGTAAATAACGGAGTGTTGTCTAAAACACCTAAAGTATTTACGGCCACTTCCAACCACAGATTTGCGGCACTGATCTACACAGATCTGACTTTCCAGGCTTGGGAATACATTTCAAACAGATTCTAGCCCAATCGCTTCATGCTGTGATTTTATCTTTCAACACTGGAAATTTGCCCGGGTCAGAGTGTAATTTGTTTCCAACTAAGCCTAAATACAATACATAATTTGTAGCATCAGAAAATCCTCTTTGAGCATCTCACGTGCACACACACGACCAGTCGATGTGGGTTTTTCCCCACAAACAAAAGCCACCACGTACAAAAATCTATATTTATATTAAGTTATCACAACAAATCTAAAATATCCAACTTACAGGTTAAATAATAATAATAAAAAAAAAAAAAAAAAAATCCAGAATTTCTTGTTAAAAACATTATAATATAAACAGCTGAAGTTTGTGTATTCTGGCTTAGTATAAAAATTAGAATTTTTTTTAAAATTATTTTTTATTATTATTTTTTCCCTCCCAGGAGAATC